GACAGTAAACTTTCAAACTGGATAAAGTTCATGCTGTGTATGATTTTAGACCAGAGCTATTACAGACAGTAAACTTTCAAACTGGATAACTTCATGCTTCATGGAGTAGAAAGTAAAATACATCATTTTTTAAAACCCTATTAATCAGTCACTAAGAGATGTTTATACATGGTTTGAAATTTTCTAACTACTCTTGTATAGCAAATTATTTAACAATTATTTGCATGTCCTGTCCAGTTACTCATTTAGTAGTTATATGTCCTGTCCAGTTGTTCAACAAGTGATCATGTGTCCTGTCCAGTTGTTCAACAAGTGATCATGTGTCCTGTCCAGTTGTTCAACAGGTGATCATGTGTCCTGTCCAGTTGTTCAACAGGTGATCATGTTTCATGTCCTGTTATTCAACAGGTGATCACGTGTCCTGTTCAGTTATTCAACTAGTGATCATGTGTCCTGTTCAGTTATTCAACTAGTGATCATGTTTCATGTCCTGTTATTCAACAGGTGATCATGTTTCATGTCCTGTTCAGTTATTCAACTAGTGATCATGTGTCCTGTTCAGTTATTCAACTAGTGATCATGTGTCCTGTCCAGTAATTCAATTTGTAGTTATATGTCTTGTCCAGTTGTTCAACAAGTGATAATGTGTCCTGTCCAGTAATTCAATTAGTAGTTATATGTCCTGGTATTCACATTCTGCTTTATACACCAAGAACACTTAGTGACAAAAAATATGTCACCAATCCTGAATGATGTTCTCGCACAATCAGTAAAAACTGTTAGTTTTATTAAGAGCAATACATTGAATTCATGATTGTTCAATGCTTTGTACTGCTGTTTTTACTTTGAGCAATAAAATGGATGCATTTAAGAAAAAGCTAAAACTTTGGTTCAAGTGAATACATGAAAAAGCTATGAAATGTTTCCTGTCTTTTCCAATTTAATAAGCTCAACGAATTGGATATTTCACGTATCACAATTATTGTTTGTGAACATCTAAAAATGCTTTCTAGAGCATTCGATGATTACTTCCCACCAGACGTGCAGTGAAATATCAAAAGATCTACTGGGGTACAGTAGCTTTTGGGTTGGGAAATACTGTTCTAGATGATGGCCCCGTAGAGATATTTGCCACATTCTTACTGACAAGCAATCACAAAGGAGCAGAATTTGCTAGAGTTCTCACAGATTTCCTTGAAAAGAATGATATAAGAATTCAAAATTACCGTGGGCATTCTTACAACAATGCATCCAATATTAGCAGCAAATATGTTAGCATGCAAGCCTTGATGAAAGAGAAGAACTCCTAGCAGAATATGCTTATTCTTTGCTATTGTACAGAAGCTTTATGTATTTTTTCTCAGCTTCAAACTGCCTGTGAAAGCAATTACATGATGTACTAGCATTCCTGTTGACAGAGGTTATCAGACATAAGATGCAGCACCCATTCAGATGCAATATGAGCCTTAAAAGTGGGGTACAAAGCCATAATGCAAGCCCTTGCTTCAGTTACAGAGGATGACTGAAAACACTGAAAAAAATATCATTCTCAATGCTAAAAAGGATAAAGGACACACTTCAATCATCAATGTGCCAAAACAAGCTAAATGCACTGGCACTTTTGCGCATAGAAAATGGCTTGTTAGAATCACTCATCACAAAACAGATCTAAAGAGCCAAGAAGACGGTAGTTTAACTAAATACAGATAACATGATCTCTCTATTACTGGTGGTCAGATTGTGTTAGTATTGGTGTGAGCTAAGTATGTGTGTGTGGGTTGTTGAGTTTATGTGTATATGGTTTCTTTCCGTCAATATGCTTTGTTGTTTAAATGCAAATTCTGTCTGTGATAGAGAACCACTTTTCCTATTCAAAAACCATCTAATATTTCTCATTAATTTGTAGATGAGTTTTGCAAACATTTTCCTGTTGTCTTCAAAAGTCAAACATATCACGAGATTTAGTTGTTTTCTTTTCCCTTAATCTTTCATGAGGATCATAATAGGCCCGATAGAAAAATGTAGACCCAGACCCATCTGACCCTTAATTCACCCCCTGATTGTACTTAGCAATCTAACATTTCAGTTGTTCTGATCTGGCACTTTAGTTCTGATATAAAACTTAGGTTGTTTTGATCTAACACTGTTATTCCTTATCTGATACCATAGCTTTTCTGGTTTGTCACTGTTCTTCCTGATCTAACACCTCATGGATCTAATCTACTTTTTCTGGTGTAATAATTAAGCTATTATTCTGCTTGATCTAACACCTAAGTTGTTCCGATATGTCACCATTCTTCCTGATCTAACACCTCAATTACTTTGATCTATTATTTCCTTATGATCCAACTCTTGAGTTACCCACATCTAACGTCGGAATCTTCGAGACATCACAAAATGATCTCATTCATTCACCATTAATCTTACTGATCTAAAACAATGATCTTTTTCATTTATCAAACTAATTTTAAAACTATAGAATGATCTTCCTTATCCATTGCATTGACCTTCCTCATTTTTCATAATATCTCTAAACTAATATCTAAACTGATCTATCACATGATAAAAACAATTTACACCTTTAGCACTTTTTTTACCTAATACCAAACCATTTCTGATTTTCATGACCTATTGCACTGTTCTTTCTTCATCTAACAAAACAATCTTCCTGCTCCTTTAGTACAGTCCTCCTCAATAAAATCCTTCCAACTTGACAAGTCAATGCAATTATCTTAATTTAATATCTCAAATATTATTATTCAACACTTCAATATTTCTGACCTTAATAATTCAAGAAAATGTATTTCCTCATCCAGAACAACAGATCTTCTGTTTCATGCATTATCATTTTCTTATCAGGTATCATAAATCAAAATTGTTGAATAGCACAATGTAATATATGACAGTCCTTACTGTAACATCTTTGTTCCTCACAAAACTGCAGTGCTTTTGAAAAAAAAAAAAGTATAAACCAAAAAAGTTTTTCCCGGACTCTTCGAGTCTTTTTCCCCCTGAACCAAGGAAAGTATGCCTGAACATTTTTTCACCCAAAACACTAAGTCACTACAGTAACTGGGATCAAGTTTAAAATGTAGACCATCTTGTCTTCAAATCTGAAAAAAAATAAAAAAAAAAAAAAATACAGAAAGAAATAAACTGAATTTTCAACAACATAAGGCACTTTCTATTTCTTGTTTCAAAAATTCTTCTGCCCAGTATCTTTCAAAGAAATATCCCTTTCATAAAATACACAAAGTAACGCTATCATATTACCAACACATATAAAGTAACATTACTGTATTGCCAACAAATATAAAGTAATATTATCATGAACCATGATTGTGGTTCATAATAGGAATCACCCAGGAATTTCACACAAATTCTAAAAGAACATATTCTTGTTTTACAAGCCTACAAAAAAAATGGCTGTGAATATATGATTCAAACCTGGACAAACCTATTAAAAAACTCTTGTGCAGGCCATAGGACTACTTTTATGTTGGTTCTTGAAAGAGAAGGAGAGATTTTATCAGTTTTTCATTGCTACTGGCCAAGTTTCTCTTCGAAGCCATTAAAGCACTGAAGCCTACAGCAAAAACAGCTATGTATACTGTGACAAAACCTATGCATAGCTACTAAACAAACTCATGCTAAGGATGTAGAGCTATTTTGTAGGGCTTGAAAGTTGAGATTTCCACCCTCTAAAATTTTCTAAGTTCTTCTTCACTACCAACATGAGCTCTTCAAAGCCATTCAAGCATCACAGAAACCCTTTAAGCACCATAATACTAGTCAGAAATGTTTCATTTTATTAGATTAAACAATGTGTATATTTATAACAGTGTCTTCAGCCTTATTATCATTGATTATAGTTTTACAAGCCACTGCTATAAAAAAAAATTTTATAAATATTTTTCTGAAACCTGGACAATAGTAATGAATGCAGTATTGAGTATGTCATAGGATAGTTTTAATATTAATTCAAGTGTCTTTGTTTTTTCACCCTGAAGAATTTCTCTGTAAGTCCTTCATTTCCCACCATTAACAGAATCCGGTGTTTTACTAATGTTCATTAATTGGAAAATAATTTGTTCAACTTATAGTGCATTAATTGAAAATTGTCATGTTGAGGATTCATCATTTCTTGAGTGCTCTGATGTATTTTGTCTCTATGTGGTTTTCTGAAAGTAAGTTTTCTAACAGTAAACGATTACCACAGTAGATTTATTTATTGTTGTGAATGGTGATTTATTCTACTGATTTTTGTACTTCATGAAATTGTGAGTGTGTGTTTTAGTATTATTATTAATATTTTTGTTTTACAAGCCTACAGCAAAATTGGCACGGTATCTTGCACCAAAACCTAGATATAAAATGCTAAGAATGTCCATCACCTATTTAAAAAGTTGATTAATTTTCATTTAAAATTGATTTACGTGGCTATAAATACATGATATATGTGATGTTGTTGTGAGCAACTTCCTTTGTACTTGATGCTTGTTAAACGCATGTTTACTTGAAACCTCAGCACAAAACCACCTGGTTCAGTAAATAATGTTTGGGTGGGAGAAAAGCCAATGCAGCAGTAAACTGTTGAAAAACATGTAACATTCAACTGAATGTATATGCATGTATGTAGCTTAATATGTATTCTCCATAAACGGACATAATAACTTAACATGTAACATTCAACTGAATATGTAGCTTAATATGTATTCTCCATAAACGGACATAATAACTTAAGAAGATAATTAAAATTGTTAATATAAAAAGGGGAATAGGGATCATCAAAAAAGTAGAGAAACAAGTTGAATCAAAATGCAAAGATTATATTATCAAGCCTACAACTAGGGACTATAACAAAAAAAAAAAAAAAAAAAATAGGTTGGTAATGTCTACATTATTTTCTCAAGCTACAGATCTGAATTTTGACTTCAAGTCTACAGTACTTTTCAATAGTAGTAGAGTCAAAATACTTTTTAAAGTCCCTAGTTGTAGGCTTGAAAATACAATCTTAGTATTTTGATTCAACTTGTTTCTTTACTTTTTCGAGGATCCCTATTCACCTTTTTAGATTAACAGTTTTTAATTATCTTGTCATATTACCAACATACAAAGTAACCCTATCATATTACTAAGACACAAAATAACACTATCATATTACTAAGACACAAAATAACACTATCATATTACTAAGACACATAATGTAACACTATCATATTACTGACACACAGGTTTCCTAAAGCTAACCTATCTAAAATAACACTATCATATCAATATAGTACACTATAATGATGCTAAGCTTTGTAAAGTAATGCTATCATATTGTTGCGTTAGCGAGGTCACATGACTAGTATCACGCCGCCCGTTTTCTAGAAATATCCTGTTCCTTCGGGAGTGCCCTAGCATTTGCTAGATTGGGGGTGGCCTGGTATATATATATAAGATGGTCACGGCGTGACGGGACAATGTGTAGGTAGTGAGTAATTGATCTGCAGTCAGAGAGTATTCTTGAAGTTAACATTCGTTGTTATAGCGTTTGTTTTAGCGCGATTGTTGAATTTAAGTGTATCGTAAAGTTATATTCAGAAAGAATAAACCAGTTTTATTTAAGAAAGGAATTGTGTCGCTAAAGTTTCGTTGGAATGAATTTACGGGAAATCAATTAACAAACGGAGATGTAAGAATATTAATGTAATACACTATATTGATGCTAACATTTGTAAAGTAATGCTATCATATCAATGTAATATGCTATATTGATGGTAACATTTGTAAAGTAATGCTATCATATTAATGTAATACGCTATATTGATGGTAACATTTGTAAAGTAATGCTATCATATTAATGTAATACGCTATATTGATGGTAACATTTGTAAAGTAATGCTATCATATCAATGTAATACCCTATATTGATGGTAACATTTGTAAAGTAATGCTATCATATTAATGTAATATGCTATACTGATGGTAACATTTGTAAAGCAATGCTATCATATTAATAAAACATGGTATATTGATGCTAACTTTTCTAAGGTAACACCACCATATAACTAAAACACAGGTATAACCATTATAAATAATTCATCCCATGTCGTCATTATACGATAATAAAACCAATAATTATTCACTGGTATTGTACTGATGTCTCACCATGTCAGGTTGTAGTTATTAAATACTCACCAACACTGCTCTAAAACGTCATCAGAAGAAGTTTTACATTGTCTTTTAAGTTTACTGTATTCTCCATCTGAGTCTTGACTGTCAAGTTGCTGAGTTGTTGTGACCAGATCAAAGGCATACTCTGCTAGGTACTTCTTCAATAGATCATGAAAACAGTCCTGAAGAACTTTGGCAGCATTGTGTAAAGATGATCCTTCCTGGATGGAATTAAATAAAACAACAAGTACTTTCTAATAAGACTAAATTATATCTCCTATCACTTAACCATAGAATGCCAACATGGGGTCACTATGACTCAATACCACCTGGTGTTGATGAATGCAAATTTAACACTGGCATTCTAGGCTTAAAAAACTTGAAGATATGAATTACAAAAACTTATCTGTTTGGTACATTTAGAACCACAAGTACTGGCTCTTTCGTACATTCAAAACTACAAGTACTGGCTCTTTGGTACATTCAAAACCACAAGTACTGGCTCTTTGGTACATTCAAAACCACAAGTACTGGCTCTTTGGTACATTCAAAACCACAAGTACTGGCTCTTTGGTACATTCAAAACCACAAGTACTGGCTCTTTGGTACATTCAAAACCACAAGTACTGGCTCTTTGTACATTCAAAACCACAAGTACTGGCTCTTTGGTACATTCAGATGGTTACATTTCATATATTCAGCAATGATGGACATATTCCATAGTTTCAGCAATGATGGGTATATTTTTATAGTTTCAGCAATAATGGGTATAATTTATAGTTTTAACAATGATGGGTATAATTTATAGTTTTAACAATGATGGGTATATTTTATAGTTTCAGCAATGATGGGTATATTTTATAGTTTCAGCAATGATGGGTATATTTTATAGTTTCAGCAATGATGGGTATATTTTATAGTTTCAGCAATGATGGGTATATTTTATGGTTTCAGCAATGATGGGTATATTTTATAGTTTCAGCAATGATGGGTATATTTTATAGTTTCAGCAATGATGGGTATATTTTATAGTTTTAACAATGATGGGTATATTTTATTCTTTGAACAATGATGGGTATATTTTCACAGAATGCATAATATGCTACTTGCATTTCACCTGTATTCGTGGACAAGAACACAACATTGTTTCAGGAAGATGGAGCACAGTGTCACACTGCTAGAAACACCCAAAAGTGGCAGGAAGAAAATGGTATCCAGAAGTTGACCTGGCTGAGCCAATCTCCTGACATGAACCCCATCGAAAACCTCTGGGCCATACTCGACCAGCAAGTCAAGAAACAACCAAAAAAAAACAAATTTTTCGTCATTTAAATACCTTCAAATTTTTCTGACAATATTTTTAAAAACTCTGGTAGCAGTAACAGATTACAAGATGCTGTCTTTAAGCTTTGAAAACAATGGCCATCTGGCTCTGCATAAGAGGTCAGAGTTGATGTATGGAAATTTAGAAAACTAATTTTTGATGTAAAGGGACTACCCTTACAATGCGCATCCCTTTCTTTGGATCATTCTAGCAATGTGTACTGCAATAACTGATATTCATATTTTGAGAACCTGGTCATTCATCTTTCCTCCACGTCTTGGGTTTTCAACATCTCACAATCAAACACTTTGAAGAAGCCACACTAGTTACTGTGTACACTTGAAAAGTTGTTGAACGAACCACATGACCTCGTTGGTAACTTCTGTTTCAGCAGAAATGTGCAAGTACATTTAATTGAGGTTATGTTTTTACTACAAGGGAACTCCACCTCATATAGTCAATATATATTCTAATTACTAAATAAAATCTGATCTATCAAGTCTATCTATCAAATCAAGTCTTTACATTTCAAAATTGTGTACTGAGTTATGAAAAATGCACAGGTTTGATTTCTTTTAGGGGGACTTCTCTTGCATCAACCAGTTTGAACTGCAATAACTAGTACAAAAATAGAAGTTTTCTTACAATACAGTGACTTGGCAGGATCAATGGAACATTCACAGTAACCACAATAATGACGAAATATCTGGTGGTTTGTAAACTGTAAGCTCCAGGTTAAAAAATAAAAATAGTTCACTAGAGCTTTCATAACAGTTATAGCTTTTAGAAATAATAAAACTTTCCACTCTATGTTAAGACAGTAGTTATAGCTTTTAGAAATAATAAAACTTTCCACTCTACGTTAAGATAGTTGTTGTAGCTTGTAGAAATAATAAAACTTTCCACTCTACATTAAGATAGTTGTTGTAGCTTGTAGAAATAATAAAACTTTCCACTCTACGTTAACATAGTTGTTGTAGCTATTAGAAATAATAAAACTTACCACTCTATGTTAAGATAGCTGTTGTAGCTTGTAGAAAAAATAAAACTTTCCACATTATGTTAAGATAGTTGTTGTAGCTATTAGAAATAATAAAACTTTCCAAACTATGTTAAGACAGTAGTTGTAGCTTGTAGAAATAATAAAACATTCCACCCTATGTTAAGATAGTAGTTGACCCTTGTAGAAATAATAAAACATTCCACCCTATGTTAAGATAGTACTTGACCCTTGTACAAATAATAAAACATCCCACTCTCCATTAAGGCAGTAGTTGCAGCTTGTAGAAAAACTAAAACTTTCCACTCTATGTTAAGATAGTAGTTGTAGCTATTAGAAATAATAAAACTTTCCACTTCATGTTAATGTAGTAGTTATAGCTTGTAGAAATAATACAACTTTCCACTCTATGTTAAGATAGTAGTTGTAGCTTGTAGATATAATAAAACTTTCCACTCTATGTTAAGATAGTAGTTATAGCTTGTAGAAATAATAAAACTTTCCACCCTACATTAAGATAGTTGTTGTAGCTTGTAGAAATAATAAAACTTTCCACTCTACATTAAGATAGTAGTTATAGCTTTTAGAAATAATAAAACTTTCCACTCTATGTTAAGACAGTAGTTGTAGCTTGTACAAATAATAAAACTTTCCACTCTACGTTAAGATTGTAGTTATAGCTTTTAGAAATAATAAAACTTTCCAAACTATGTTAAGACAGTAGTTGTAGCTTGTAGAAATAATAAGACTTTCCACTCTACGTTAAGATAGTAGTTGTAGTTTGTACAAATAATAAAACTTTCCACTCTATGTTAAGATAGTAGTTGTAGCTTGTAGAAATAATAAAACATTCCACTCTATGTTAAAATAGTAGTTATAGCTTGTAGAAATAATAAAACATTCCACTCTA